ATACCCCCCTATGCCCTATGCATTTATAACATGCTAACATTCAAAGTTGGAATTATTAAAAATAAAAAAGCATTAAGGTCATCTTTCTTAGGTGTAATTTGCTTTCTAACTATTTTTACAGTTCAGTTTAGCGATCTTCATGTTTACAATTGTGCTCCCTTCGCAGTGCACTTTAAAAACATTGATGTCATTTTGAACACAGCCTCATGATGAAAGCTATAGGTGACCTATTATTTAAAAGTGGAATTTATGTTACATCTCTAAAGCTTGTGAAAACAAAAAGCATACGTTAATTCTTTTATTTATAGTGGGTTATTTATTAAATATCTGTACTGTACATGACATGGGCCTGCTTGGTAGAACTTTCTGGCGTGGTTTGCAGATGTCAAATTGTAAAAGTAGACTTTCCAAAAAAAAAAAAAAAATATATATATATATATAAGCAATATCCTACTTAATAATAATAATAATGATAATAATAAAAAAATAATAATAATAATAATAATAATTATTATTATTATTATTATTATCGTCGTCATCATCATCATCATCATCATCATCATCATCATCATCATCATCATGCCACTTCATTAGATTTATTTAAAAAAAAAAAAAACTTTACCAATCCAGAATTGAGCAAATATTAATTTTAACAGGTAGTATGTGAATTAATAACTACATATTCCTCACTAAAACAACTGAAATATGAAAGAACAGATTGTGTGGGTGATGTAGATTTGTGCATTTACTGCATTTTATTTCTGTAATTCCTAAATTTTTCACTTTTACGTTTGCAAAGTGAGAGAAGTTGCTAAAATTTGACATTTAGCCTTGGACGGCCTTGATGTTCATGTGTACCAATTTTTGTCAATTTTGGATTTTGCTTTCACAGGAAACAGGCCAATATATTAACTAGATGGACGATGCCAGAAATTGTAATGAATTAAATCTGTTTTACTTATCCAAATTCTTTTGACAACAGTGTTTACAGGAACACAAAAGCTACCTAGGGCAGCAATGTTAGGAGAATGGCATTTCATTGTACTTTAATATGTTAATTTCAGAAAATATGCCAATCAAACAATTACCTAAGATAAATCTTAATAGGTTTTGATGAATATAAGATTTAATTATTAAAACCTAATCCATAAATCCTCTTACAATGACCACAATAGTGAAATATTAAAGGTTGTGTGGTATTATCTTTTTCCCCAAAATTAAGTAAATTTTTCACTTTTAAGTTGGTCGAGTAAGAGAAGTTGATGGTATTTAACATGAAGCCTGAGATGGCCTTGATGTTCACATGTACCAATTTTTGTGAACTTTAGATTTTGCTTTCACATGATACAGGCCGATATATTCATTAGATGGACGATGCCAGAAATTGTATTGAATTAAATCTGTTTTAACTAATCCAAATTCTTTTGACAACAGTGTTTACAGGAACACAAAAGCTTCCCAGGGCAGCAATGTTTAGAGAATGGAATTTCATTGTACTTTAATATGTTACTTTTAGAAAATATGCCAATCAATTACCAGTGATGAATTTTCAGAGGTTTTGATGAATATGACATTTAATTATTTAAACCTAATCCACAAATCCCCTTAAAATGACCACAATAGTGAAATATTAAAGAACAGATTGTGTGAATATAGCTTTTTCCCCTAAATTAGGTTCATTTTTTCACTTTTAAGTTTGTCAAGTATAAGAAGTTGCTGAAACTTAACATGTAGCCTCAGATGGCCTTGATGTTCACATGAACCAATTTTTATGATCTTCAGATTTTGCTTTCACATAAAACAAGCCAATATATTAATTAGATGGACGATGCCAGAACTTTAATTGGATTAAATACTTAATGAAACCAATTAAACTCTTTTAAAAACTGTTTTCAGGAACACAAAACCTAGGCAATGTTTGAAGAGGATCACTGGCTTGCCCTCAAAGACATTTATTTTAAAAAGCAACCAAATTCTGCAATTGTAATAATGAACCTGAGCCTGTAGTCCATGCATCGATCGATAAAACATTCACTTATTAAATATAAACCAAACAACAGTCACCCAAAACCATTCCCTAAATATGGACCACAATAGTGAAATATGAAAGAATAGATTGTGTGGGTATAGCTTTTTCCCCCAAAGTAAGTGAATTGTTCACTTTTAAGTGTGTCAAGTAAGATAAGTTGCTGAAATTTGACATGTAGCTTAGTTGGCCTTGATGTTCATGTGTACCAATTTTTGTCAACTTTAGATTTTGCTTTCACAGAACACAGGCCAATATATTCATTAGATAGATGATGACAGAAATTGCATTGGATTTAGTCTTTAATTAAACCAACTAAAATTCTATTAAAAACCCAAAACCAATATCCTAATATGGATCACGATAGTGAAATGTTAAAGAACAGATCAGGTAATTGTTTTTTTTCAGTTTTAGGTTTTTCAAGAATTAGAAGTTGATGACATTTTACATGTAGCTTCAGATATCATTGATGTTCAAGTAAACCAATTTTTATAAACTTTGGATTTTGCTTTTACAGAACACAGGCCAATATATTCATTAGATGGACGATTTATTGGATTAAATCTTTAATTGAACCAAATCAAAAGTATTTAAAAAACTGTTTTCATTAACACAAAACCTAGGCAATGTTTGAAGAAGATCACTTGCTTGTCCTCAAATGCATTTATCTCGAAAAGTAGGGATGTAACGGTATCAGAATTTCACGGTAGGGTAATACCTCGGTAAGAATGGCATGGTACGGTATTTATTGAGTAATTTACAGGAAAACAAAACTAATGAAAAGACTCAAAAAAGTGCCAAAAGTACTTATTTACTTTAGCACTGAACATATCAATGACATACAAATCAGCCATCTATCTGTAAGTTTTGAAACAGGAACTTCAATTTTTCAATTTTAATAACGAAAAACTATTAAACTATATAAAAAAAATAAAGTTTCAATTTAGTATTGTTGAAAACTCTTCACATTCAACATTTAATCACTCACTCACTTAGATAGAGATGGGTTTTTTTAGGGAAAATGATCATATAACTATAATCTGGTAAAGCTGGGATCTCTGGGCATGACCCCTGCAACAGAAAAAAACCCTCTCATTTGGGACAGAGAGATATGATTTAGCCAAGGTTGACAGCAGTGGGTAACGTTGTGCATTGTCTTTCCACCACCTGATAGGACAAGCCATGAGTGTGTTAGAGGTCTCTTTGTGGTACAAGTCAATGTCTGCATTAATCTAACAAGTGTGCTGTGTTCTGCAGTCCCCATGACTGTTTTAGTCGTATTCCCCGACTTATATTTCACCACAGTCTGGCAGTGCCTGCATACCATTTTTTCTTTGTCTGTCACCTTTTCTCCTTTTATGTATCTTTTTAAAAAGAAACTGAAATGCTTCCACACATCCCATTTAAAACCCGCTTTAGGTTCGATCATTTCCAGCTCTTTTTCTTCCCTGCTACTAGCAGCACACTCCATTTCCACATTACTGGATCTGTAGTGACAACAGACCGCAAAGGATGATGGCCACGCCTGGGCTGATGGGAATTGTAGTTCCCGCTACCTCCCGTTCACTTTATTCGCCTGAGCAAACTTTTCTCAGAAATATAGTTTTATTGAGTCATGCGCCTACGGTAATATTGAAAAAAATTACTATTGCGGTATGACCGTATTTACAATTGTCACCGACTCGGTCCCAGTCATTCCCCTCGCTGGCCAGCAGAAGCCACCATCTCCGGACTTCTAAGCATTACATCATCCTTTCACCTTGATCATGCTCAGCTGAACTCGATCCCGCTAATGACCCACGTACCCTTTATAAGCCAGCACCAAACGCTCATTCACTGCGAAGTCTTGTTTAGCCCCGGCCAGCATTTCTGAGCGTTATTCCTGCCTGATTCTCTGTGTATTACTCCAGCCTGTTTATTGACCCTGCTTCGCCTTCTGCCTGCCCACGACCCTCGCTTTGTATACGGACTCTGACACTCGCTGCCTGCCAACGAACCACCCCTGTTGTACGGACTCTGATGTTTGCTATCTGCCCACGACCCACGCCTGGTTCACGGACTCTGATACTTGCAGCCTGTCCCCGATCTAGGCCTGGTAATACCCACTGTGTCTATCCATCGCCAGTCTTTAGTCATCATAGACTGTTGTTGTTGTGTGTTTGCATGTTAGTGCAGTTTGTGTGTGTGTATGAGAACTTGAGCAATAAATACTGCATATTGGATCCCTCCGTGTCAGTCTTCTCGTTACAACAATATTGTTACATCCCTATCAAAAAGCAAACAAATTCTGCAATTATAATGATGAACCTGAGCATGTAGTCTATGCATTGATGAATCAAACATTCCCTTATTAAAAATAAACCAAACAACAGTCACCCAAAGCCAATCTCCAAATATTGACCACAACAGTGAAATATTAATTAACAGACTGTGTAGATTTTTTTTGTTGTATTGCCTATAATACGTTAATTTTGCACTTTTAAGTTTTCCAAGTATGAGAAGCTGATCAAATTTGACATGTCGCCTCTCACATCATTGATGTTCACATGTACCAATTTTTGTGAACTTTGTATTTTGCTTTCTTTCACAGGATACAGGCCGATATATTCATTAGATGGACGATTTATTGGATTAATTCTTTAATTAAACCAAATCAAAAGTATTTTAAAAGCAGTTTTCATGAATACAAAACCCAGGCAATGTTTGAAGAGGATCACTGGCTTGCCCTCATATGCATTTATCTCAAAAAGCAACCAAATTCTGCAATTGTAATGATGAACCTGAGCTTGTAGTCTACGCATTGATGAATAAAACATTCCCTTATTAAAAATAACCTCCATCAAATCTGCCTGGAGCGACTGATAGTGAGACTGCGGGTCAAGGTAAGGTCTCCCTATTAGCTCCAGTGAGTCCCACATACTCCACAAACACTTGTTAAATACTGTGGTTTGAGCACCTGAGGCCGTTTTCCTACCTGAACATGTCGCCCAGGCCCTTCAGCACTCCCTTCTTGGCTTTGTTCTTGTCTTTCTTGTCCTTTTTCTTATCGTCTTTGGTGCGTTCTCCGTTGATCTCAGTGTTGGAGGGTGGAAGAGTGAGGTCTGTGGCTGTAGAAATGGAGTCGTGGCCTGACCGTGAGCTTTCTTCTGTGTCTTCTTCCACTGAGATGATGGAGAAAGTCAAAGAGATACAGATATAATCAGTTAGACAGGAAGATATGTTGAATTAGATTATTTAAGTCACTGAGAGTGAGTGAGAGAGAGAGAGAGAGAGTGACTGGATTTGTTAACAGATTTCCACAAAAACAGTTCTGGATCAATCATCTAACAACACTTT